GTGTACTCCGAGTGTACTCCGAGTGTACTCCGAGTGTACTCCGAGTGTATTCCGGTGTACTCCGAGTGTGCAAAATTCAAAGCCATTGATACTTCCTCCCGTACCCTCTGGTCACTGACGCCCCCCTCTGTCGCAGCACCCTGGACAGCCTGTCTAACCGCGACCGCTGCCGCGTGGGGCAGGTCTCCCTGTTCGACGGCCCCCTGGCGCAGTTCGGCGAGTCGGGCAAATACGGCGACCTGTTCGTCCTCGCCCTCAAGTCCTACGGCATGCTTTGCATCGGGCTGTACAGGTAAGCCAGAAAGAAACAAATCGTCGCCAGGTTCGACGACCACAAACAATGGGTCGTCAGAAAGGCGAACAACAAATGTTGACACTCTCTCACACATTTCTTCCCCCGCCGGGTACTGATGTAGGTTCCGGGACACGAGCAACTCCTGCGATGCCTCCTCAAAGAGATACGTCATCACGAACCCACCAGATGACTTCGCACTCCTTCCCACCGACCAGGTTTGTAAAGGGTTTTTCACAGCACGAACGATTTTGCTTTGCTGCCTCATGGTTGTTGACTATCTGCCTGTCCTTAGGTGTTCGTGCTGATGCAGTTCGACCCGGGTCTGGAGTACAAGCCCAACAGAGGCGCCCCGCGAGGCAAGGACGACAACTCCTGACTATTGCTCTGTAGCGCCCTCACCGATGGACCCTACTCCTACATCTAAGCGACCCGCCTGTTGCACGGCCCAACCAATTCCATTCATGTTTTATTCTTTTACAAGTTTTCATTATTTACAAGATTTATTTTGTTTTATTTTGTTTTGCTTTTTTATCACACACCTGAACCACATCCCCCATCCTTTTCAAGCTGAACTCTGAAGAAATCAGACATGCACTGAAGACGATGACCCATTTGTATCCTGAAGCCCAGCCAATTAACAAAGTTTCATTATCAAGGCAGATGCAATCTTATCACATCTAGACTAACAGGATGAATGATCTCTCAATGTTCAGAATACTTCAAACTGCATGGCCTTTAACATCATAATTTTCTCTATTTTCTCGATTATTTCTTCTTTTGTTTGTGGGACAGCGCCTACAAAAATTCCAAGCATTTACTTCTTTATTTTTGAATACGAGTTGTTTGGGAATATGTGCACCAGTTAGGGTTGTGGGAGAGGATCCATCTGGCCAGACCACGAACAGGAAAATCCCTACGATAAAATAAAAAAAGCATGTGTGATCAAGGTGAAGGGGGCATTGAACTGTCGACCTTTTCCTAGGGAGATTCCACGTGATCGGCCAGGGAGGACGCTACGACGGGCGTGAGACCCGTCAAAACTA